ATGAATTCTTTCATGGTTGAGAAGATAACTCTTCATTGCAAAGGCTTTACCACAATGATTACATTCATGCGGTTTCTCTCCAGTATGAATTCTTTCATGTCTGTGATGATCACTCATCTGTACAAAGTCTTTACTACATTGATTACATTCACAGCATTTCTCTGAAGTTTGAATTCTCTGTACTTGATGCTGAAGACTGTCATATGCAAAGGCTTTATTCCTTTGATTATACTCATAGGGTTTTCCTTCAAAATGAATTTTTTGGTGTTCTTCTAAAGAGCAATCAGATATAAAGGGTTTATCATGTTGATTACATTCATGGAGAGCCTCTTCGTTATTGGTTCTTTGGTGTGACTGACGATGCCTGTCAAGCCTAAAGCCTTTAGTAGATGACTCACAATCATTATTTTCTCTTCCCACATGAGATTTTTCACATCTTTGAAGAAAACTTGAAGAACTCGGTCTGACCAGACTGATTGCATTTATAACATTTTCTTATACTGTGAGCCACACTACATATGCACAGTGAACCAGTAGAGAGAGATGAATTTCCATATTCCTGGTACTCATTAGGTTTTTCTCCAATGAGAGTTTGTTGGTGTATTCCCACTGAAGTTGGAAAACCAAGTAATTGTAAACTTATATCACAGTCATCGTGTCTTCTCATAGTGGGGACTACCACATATCTTCCATTTGATCTGAGAGTGCCAGAAGTACAATGCTTCTTTCCATACCCATTATGCCCCCATGGATTGTATCCAGAGTGACAGATGACACACCTGGGAAAGGAAGATAAAAAAATAAAGGGTTTTCACATTGCATTCTCATAGTCGAATATTTTGTGTGTTATACAGATGCAGAATAGAGATTCGTGTTTCTACACCAAGACAACCTCCTGCAATCTCATACAGTGCTTCATTCACTAAACTATGCTAAATCACTCACTACAAGTATATGAGCAACGCTAGCTTTAATACCAAAGGTTTGCTTACAAAAGGTCTTGGCCATACACTAATGCCCTCATCAATGATATGATAATCGGAAGGCATGATGGTAATTGGTTGGACAGTTCAACAACATGCCTCCTACGTGGCTATGATTGAAACTGTGACATCTGTTGTGGCGTTGTTTCCTTGTCTTGTCCTCAAAGGAATGCTTTGAAAACAGTTATCAGCTACCTGATATTGGAGTATATGGTGTTGTGAAAATTTAATAATCCTCATAAAGCTATGCCTATTTTCACAGTTGCTTTACATTAAAAGTTCAGGACACATTAACATTTTTTCAAACTGTTTGAAATCTCCTGCTCAAGCAGTCCCATTGCAGAAAGCCCGCCATCCGTGGTTCCTCCCCCAGAGATGTCTGGGACCATGCCTACCAGCTATTTAAGACCCAGTCCATACATCTGCCATGGGTGCTCTCATGATCTTTCTCCTGCTTTCCTGAGAGCCACCTGAGAGTGCTCTCCTTTGTGCTGTCCTGTTTGTTAAATCTGGGTTTATTAATTCAGTTTGCTTTGGCTTATTGCATCAGTGACAGAGGAACCCAGCAACCAGGGATTGTATACTTATCTTTGGTGCACTGGGCGGGGTTAGTAGTCCTTCCACAAACATGTGGTATGGCTATGGAAGGACATTCATTCTCTCTCCCCATTCCACTTTTACCACACGGAATGAACAGCTCAGTAAGCCTCCCATTCCCAAATTAAAATGTCTTAACATGTCCGGGACCGGTAGACAGGCACGGAAGCGGTGATACGCAGAGGCAGGAAGGCCTGCAGAGGTGGCGGCAGAGACATAGATGACCGGCGGCAGCCCGCAGAGACAGACAGGCCCAGCGGCGGCAACAGGCAGAGGCAGGTAAGCCCGGCGGCAGCTGCGGCGGCCAGCAGGAGCATACAGGCCCGGTGGCAGCCAGCAGAGATGGACAGGCCCAGCGGCAGCAACAGGCAGAGGCAGGTAAGCTCAGCGGCCGTGGCCAGCAGGTACATACAAGCCGGGCGGCAGCCAGCAGAGACATACAGACCTGACGGCGGCCTGCAGAGACAGACAGGCCCAGCGGTGGCAACAGGCAGAGGCAGGTAGGCCAACAGCGGCGGCGGCGGCAGAGACATACAGGCCTGGCGGTGGCCCGCAAAAGTAGACAGGCCCAGCGGCGGCAGCCGACAGGGACATACAGGCCCGGCGGCAGCCAGCAGAGACATACAGGCGTGGCAGCAGCCTGCAGAGGTAGGCAGGTACAGCAGTGGCGACAAGCAGAGGCAGGTAGACCCGCAGCAGTGGTGGCAGAAACATACAGGCCTAGTGGTGGCAACAGGCAGAGGCAGATAAGGCTGGCAGTGGCAGTCGGCAGGGACATACAGGCCCGGAGGCAGCCGACAGAGACATACAGGCCTGGCGGCGGAGACAAGCAGATGCAGGTAGGCCCGCGGTGGCGGCCAGCAGAGGTATAATGGCCCGGCAGAGGCAGGCTGGCCCGGAGCGGAAGCAGGCAGCCACAGCAGGCGGCGGCCGAAACACAATTGCAATAAAGACCAGAAACTGAGCTATTACCCACTGAAGAGCTAGTGAAAACAAACTTAATCAAAACCTTAGAACAGGGATGCCTCTAACCCGGGGAGGAAGCTATTTCCGTGTGACAGAACCAGAACAAATCTGAACACTCCATCTGAGGCCAACCCAGGGCCCAGCTGCAGATGCTGCAAAACCCAACAACTTGGAGGTGTTGGTGTGACTACCTCGCTCAGCTGAAATCCATCCGGGAGAGGATTCACATCCCTACAGTTTGAAGTCTGAAGAAACAAGATCAGCTGAGGAGTTGACAAATGAACAAAAAGTGATCTGGGAACAGAAGAAGGCGCTGCCCAGCCATCAAACCAGAATTATGAGTATATAGTTCACTGAATGAGATCATCTGCTACTGAAGAAACAACCCAATAGCACCAATTTAACCAGGAACTCCTACTGAACCAAGACTAAAAAATAGAACGAGAGGCACTCTCAGACACAGACACCACCTGCACCGAGCAGAGGAAGAGATGAGTAGAAGCCAGTGCAAAAATACAGGCAACAACATAAAGACCTATATGGCAACATCAGAACCTAGTGATTCTAAACCTGCAAGACCTGAACATACCAAGACAGAAGAAACAGAAGAAATCAACCCTAAAAAATGACTTTAAGAAGATGATAGAGGCCCTTAAAGAATAAATAAAACATTCCCTTAAAGAGGAAATAAAAACTTGCCTTAAAGAGGAAATAAAAATTTTCCTTAAAAAGGAAATGAAAAACTACATTAAAGAGGAAATAAAAAATTCCCTTAATGAAATGGAAGAAAAAACGAACAAAAAATGGGAAGATTTCAAATCAAGCCAAGAAAAAGCAATTAAACAGATAAAGAAACATTCCAAGATCTGAAAAATGAATTTGAGACAATAAGGAAAACATGCTGAGGGAATGCTGGAAACAGAATCCATGACTAAACGAGCAGGAACTACAGAAACAAGCATAACCAACCGATTGCAAGAGATGGAACAGAGAATCTCTGACACTGAAGACACAGTAGAGAAAATAGATTCGTCAGTCAAAGAAAACACTAAAGACAAAAAAAAGT